AAATGGCCTCATCTCCCCCATGTGGCCTCCAAGCCCTGACTCCATCTTGCTGAAGGACTTCGTCTTGGTTTTCTTGAAGGTTCCTCTTCTTGCAGCTCAACTTTGCTAAGAAAATAAAGAGCCCTTTCCTCTCCTTTTAAATCCCCGCGTGTTTCTGCCAAGAGCTGAAGGACCTGCCGGAGGCCTGACATTGCACTCGGCACTTGACCTCTGGAGTCAGGTCTTGGTTCAAATCCCAACTGGATCAGTACTTGGCCGGTAACCTCAGGGCTGGTCACTGGTTCTCAGGGCCTCAATTTTCCCATCAACTTAACAAATAATGGGGTAGAGACCCCATTCTTGTGGGGCTGTTGTTAGAATTCAATAAATTAATGTATGTAAAGCATTTAGCATACTTGCTAACATGTGATTTACTAATGATTATGTACCTTGTGAATAAGAAGTCCAGTGAGATTATTTACATGCAGTGCTTGGTAAATTGTTCAGGGCTACATACGAGTGTAAGTAATACTAAGATGTTATCAACATTAGAAACATCACCTTGCCAGCTTTCCACAGGGAATACAGCCAGGCATGAACTGTCGGTATCACCGTCCTTCAGCATCAGACGGGACTTACTCCGGCTTCAGGGGCAGAAAGAGCCTGGGTCTCTGACTGGAGCACTCATTCAGGAAGGGGACTCCTTGGCTCAGGTTGACTCCAAGGCCCGCTCTGAAAAATCCACACCATGAAACTGTGCCCCAGAACCAGCCCTGTGAAGCTCAGCGGGGCTCCAGAATGGACGGTTGGAATGCGGTTTGATGAGTGCGGACCCTCCCGCATAGCGTGGATGTGTCTAAGACGCAGTTGGGCTCAATCGTGTCGTCACAGCACAGCGACCACCAGGGAACGGGCCCCGAGTGCGAGCCGCCACGTTCGTCTAAGTACATTGCGTGCATTATCTCGTGAATCCTCATGACAACTTACTAATCCCTGGTTGAAAATGAGGAAAAGAAGGCTCAGGAAGATTAAATCACATGACCGGAATTGCAGAGCGAGTAGCCGTGGAGCTGAGCTTCCTCCCCGGGCTCCTCAGACACCTGACCCCTGCGGGCAGCTGCACGGACGGAGGCCAATGTGTCTGAACCTGCTTTGGAATAAGGCTGTGTCATGCGCTTAGGGGAGGTCAGGGAGTCAGGGGAGGGAGGGGTGACAGGACAGAAGTGAGGTGCCCCTGAAAATCCTGAGCTGATCATAATGACAGTTGCAGTAGCAGCTGTCCCGGACACGTGCCAAATGTTTTATGTACGTTTCCCCGCTTAGTGCTCGCAGCAAGCTGCCGAGGCAGATGCCCATTCGGCAGATGAGAAAGCTGGAGTCGGTGGGGGCTCATGGCTTGCCCCGGGAATTGTTTGGAATGATTGGTGGAGCTAGGATTTGAACCCAGGCAATCTGGCTCTAGAGCTGCTCTGAGTTCCCACGGCCGCCTGACAAACTACCCCAAACTTAGTGCTGTAAAATGCTAATAATCGCATTATGCTGGTGAGTTTTGTGGGTCAGGGAATTGAACAGGGCTAGGGGGGCTGGTTTCTGCCCCACGATGTCTGGGGCCATGGCTGGGAACTGGGCCTGCTGGGCGGTCAGAGGGTCCACTTCTGAGACGGCATCTTCACTCGTTTAAAGAAGTGGGCCGGTTTGACTCCACGGCTGGACTCGGCCGTGACTGTGGATCAGAGCACCTGCATGGGGTCTCGCCGTGTCCCCTGGGCTTCTCAGAGCACGGCAGCGGGATTCCAAGAGGGAGCTGTCTAGGAGAACCACTGGGAAGCTGCAGACCTAACCTTAGAAGTCATGGGCTTCACGTTGTCTGTACTTTTCCGGTCAGAGCAGTCGCAAGCCGGCCACAAGGGGATGGGACATGACTTACCCGGGGCCTCAGGCTAGTGCTGGGATTGAGAGGACAGAGAGCCAACCCCCTGCCCTCCAGGAGCTCCCAGCAGAGCGCGGGGAAAACGATGGAGTGGAGAAAGAAGCCCAGTCCAGCATGACCCGTGCTCCCGAGGCCTCTGTGAGTGCTGTGGGCACGGAGCTCTTTCCTGGAGCATGTGGCGACTGCATTCACAGCCTAATTGCTCCGCCCCATTAGCCAGCGATGCTGGATTCTTGGAGTTACTCACGACGGGTTTAAACCAACATTCCCAAGAATGAATTGTCCTGTGATAAGTAGGGTATTTCCAGTTCTACCAGAAAAGCCAGCAGAGTGACTGGTCCCCTAGCTTCCTCCCCACCCCCAGCCACTTCCCAACCCTTGTCACAACTGGTCAGCGCAGAAACAGAAGGCAGAAACTACCACTGGCATGTGCAACTCTGACCCCAGGAGGCAGAACCCTTTTTTCAAGACCACGAGGATCATTTGAGGCCTTTGCGGCACAAGAAGGGCTGGAGGCCAGTCAACCAGGCTTTTGCCACCAAGACCATGGCACAGTTCACGCCTGGTCTTGGTCTTCCATTGTTCGTTTATTCCTTGCTTCCCGCCAGTACTTAGGCTTGTACTTAGGCTTGTCCTAAACCCTGGGGATACGGGCAGAGCAGAGCTGTCCCTGCCCAAGGAGCTAATGGCCTTGTGGTTTGGAACAATTTCAGGGCACTGCATGGCGGGCTCAGGGTCTGGAGTCAGGTCACCTGGGTTTGAGTTCTGCTCTGCCGAGTGCCAGCCGGAAGACCTCACATGATTCATTTCACCTCTTTCTTCCTCCCTCCAAATTTGTTTCTTCATCAATGTCTGGGGATAATAATAGCATCTTATGTGTACGGTTGTCTCAGTGAGCCTTGGGTTTGCAAATGCAGCTGCTGGTAGTGACGATGCTGGCGGCCCCCCCCTCCCTCTAGACTTATTATAAACTCCTCCAGGGCAGACACTGTTTTCTGCTCCTCCTGTGTGTCTCTGAGGCTCTCCTTTGAGCTGCCCTTGGCGCTGGCACTCTATAAATACCTACTGAGTCATTAGGGCTGAACCTCAAATTTTGCTGTGACTCCGAAGGTCATTTTGAATAGTCATGGCTAGAGCATATTTAGCAAAACTTCAACTTCTTCTAGAGAAAAAAACAAACAGCAAAAAAAGCCCAGTTGAAATCTCTGCAAGGTAGCTTGGTGAGCCATTCCTGAATTTCAATTAAAACTTTTCTCCCTCGTATTAACCTCTTACCTGGACAAGTTGAATCTCTCTAAGCTTTGGTTACCTTGTCAGTAGGAAGGAAACTGGCCTGTTTGGGAGGCTGTCGGGATGTGAAATGAGGCAGGGACAGCAGGCGTGGGGGCGGGCACACAGTTGGTTTTGATAAACGCGGGTCTAGACCTACTATTTCCACCAGTCCAGAGCTCTGGACATCGGAAAAGAAGAGATTGTGCCAAGGGGAACACCAGCTCTGAGGGGCCGGGGTGATGAGGAAGCACCATGTGGAGTCCCACTTCTTGGAGCACCATCGCTCAAAACCTTGCTCTTCATCTCCCTGCACCCAGGAGGGCCAGTCAGAATGATTGCAAAAATAAAAGCAATTATAGAACATTTAAAAAAAATTTTAATTGGCATGTATTGAGTAACTGCTAACTTCCAGAGGCTTCTCCAGACTTCTCTGAGAACTTTCCATGGACTATTTCACTTCCGTCTGGTAACGACCCTGTGAGGTAGGGGCTGCTATCAGCCCCTTCTGCAGATGAGGAAACTGAGACCATTCAGGGACTAGGCGGGGAGCTGGAATTCACACCCAGACATTTTTGTCCAAAGCTGCTCCTGAGCCATTGTTGACGACGCCAGCAGTGGTCCTTAAGCTCTTTGGTTGGCGGGCACAGGTCTCCTTAGGACGCGGATGGAAGAGACGACCCCTCCCCCAGGAAGGTGAGCACAGCGCATGGCTGTGCCGGAGCATCTTTCCCAGAGTGAGGCTGTGAGACACGTATGTATACCCACCATCTTTACCCCCAGGGTAGAACTTGGCATAACTTAAAAGAATATAATTCTTTGTATCCATACACACAGTCGGATACAGTCTCAAGGGGGTCGCCGCCCTCCCGAGGTTGCTCATCCCCCTCACTTGCACACAGACAAGAATCCCAGTTAAGAGTCACAAAATGACTTCCTGACTCGAGACGGTTAGGGGTCCTGTTGAACTCTGAGCTAGCGTTCTGAAATTAGCGTGCCACTGACTTGCAAGCAACCTACTTGGAAATCACTTGCTTTCTTTAAGTCGTTCATAACCACCGCCACCCCCCAACCTTGCTGTTTTATCCTTTAGCTCCCCAGCCCCCACCTGCGCTGCGGAGGAGAGCAGCAGTCAGGAAGGAGTTGGCTGCCGGCGTTGAAGATCCCTGGTTGCCTTCTGTGCACACACACCTGTGGAGGGAGACGTTATTCTCCCCATTTCTCAGATGAAACACTGAGCCTGAAAGAGATGCTATCGCTCTCCCAGGGTTTCACAGCCTGTAAATAAAGCCCGTAGTGCCTCCAACACCATCACAACATGCCTTTCTACCGTGCCGCTGAACTGGAGAGTCAAAGTGGCACTTAATACCGTGCGTGTAACCGAAGTATGGGCTGTGTGGCTTTGCTCTGAGTATAGATACTGTGAAGTTCTCCAAACTGGGGCGATTGTCGCTGGAGTCCTAGGAACCCAGGGCTGAGTGCATGTTTGCAGGCCTTTTAGAGCAGCGCTTCTGAACTTGATGGGCAGGGCAAGCACCTGGGGCTCTTGCGAAACCGCAACATTCGATTCAGGAGCTGCGGAGTGGCGCCTGAGAGCCTGCATTTCTAGCAAGTTCCAAACGAGGCCCGTGCTGCTGGTGCAGAGACCACACTGTGCGTAGCCGGAGGCGAGACCACCCGCTCGCCTTTCCCCGAGGTTTTCATAACTAAGCAGGAAGCGTTGTTATCTGAGAGCTTCCAGAGGAGAAGTGTGTTTCTCAAAGGGAGCAGCAGTGGTGGAAGAGGTCGGCCGACGGGGTCGGGGCAGAGCGGACCCGGCGACCCAGCCGCCTGCTAAGACCCAGCTGCATCTAACACGCGATGTAAAGCTGTGCTCGCTGCCGAGGGATGCGCCAGGGAGAGGAGGAGGTTACCGTCCCCGGGAAAGTGCCCGGGAGGGAGCTATTATCTACTGGTATCGAGTCTTCGAGTCTTGGCCAGAAAAACATTTTAACAAGAAATCAAGAATCAACAAAAATAACATTACCTCCAGGTTCTCCTTCATTAACCTGGAAACGAGGAGACAATCGCTGCTTTCTGGCTTGTGTGAACCCAGGAGTCCAGCCTGGCGAGGGCCGCCCGATCCTCCCCTCCCACTGCCCACCTCTTCCAGCCAAGCTGGCTTCCTTCCAGGGTCTCCAAAGCTCCCAGCGTCTTCTGCCTTCAGACCTTTGCCCCTGCTGAGCTGATTCCCGAGAACGCTCTTCCCCCTTCTCTCCGTCTGCGTGATTCCCACCATCTTCTGGGGTCCCCCTTAAACGTCCCCACTTCCCTAGACACGTATTCTGAGCCCCCCAATCTGGTCAGGTCCCCCGAAGACTCGGCCACTGCATCCTTTATTTTCCTTCAGAGCATTCATCAAAAAGCTAATCTGGCTTCTACCTACCGGATGCCAGGAGCTAGTCCCCTAGTCATGACAATAAAGTCGCCACGTTCCCAAATGCCATCTAGGGGACAAACTTGTCCTCAGGTGAGAACCACAATCATACAGTCAGCCCTCTGTATCTGCGGGCTCGGCCTTCACAGATCCCGCCAGCAGAGAACCCAGAATACTCGGGGAAAAAATCCCCAGGAAATTCCAAAAAACAAAACTTGAATTTGCCACTGCTGACAGAGATTTCCAGAGGATTTACATTATATTAGGCATTATAAGTAATCTACAGATGATTTAAAGTATATGGGAGGATATGAGTAGGTTATTTGTAAATATTGTTCCATTTCATATGGGGGACTTGAGTGTCTGTGGGTTTTGGTACCCTTGGGGGTCCTGGGACTAATCCCCCTCAGATACTGAGGGACAGCTGTATACAAACACGTATGTACACACACAGAGACACACATGTACACATACGCACACTTACATACACACACGTAAAGATACCTATGTTTAAATATTCAGATACGTATGTACACTTACATATGCGTACTTAGATGTGTCTGTTTACTTGTTTATTATAAGCTTTTTGAGGGCAGAATCTTTGTTCTGTTCACTGCTACATTTCCAATACCTAGGACAGCACCTGGGTCCCAACAGGTGCCCAGAAATACTTGTTAAATGAATGAAAAAATGAGCCACCGCCACCACCGCTCCCAGTGTGCTTCTGTGGATGAGATGGGATTGTTCATATGGTGCCATCAGCACAGCACTTGGCCTGAGAAAATGATCAATAAATGCCAATTCTTTCCTCCTCTCTTTCCCTGATTTCTCCCCTCGCCCCCTGCCTGCCAAAGGCCTCTTTTATTATTTTATTACCCCTCATGAACCCCATGTTTCCTAAACTGATTAAATCATAATTTCCTCTTTCGCCCTGTGCAAGGAAGCGCAGTCATGGCTAACTGTGCAGTAGCCTCGGCCTCCCCGTGAAGAACCCAGAGTTCCTTCCAGGAGCAATGCCGCAATCCCAGCTGTACGTGGGCTGCCACTGCAAACCCCCCAGAATTCCAGGATGTCCTCAGCCACTGCTGAGACCCCTGATGAGACAAGCCAGCTAGTGGCCACTGGGCAGATGGAACTCCAGCCCTGAACAAAGACACTTGACATTTTTTTAGTTTGTCTGCCTGTGCGGGGTTATCGGGCATAAAATAACCATTTCCATTCATGTTTTTCACATTTTTTGAAAAAACTCATAGCCTTCCTGCAGTTCCCCTCCCCCCGGGCTACCATGAGGAACCCCAGTTTGGGAACCATCAGCCTGGTGGCGCCGTCTCTCTGGCGGTCGTGCTCTCGGGGAGCCCGGAGGAGGCATTTTTCAGGATGCAGCTACTTGATCACTTTCTTTCCCCGTTCCCAGTAATGCGCTTTCGGGCCTAATTAGAATGAAATGTGTTGTTTCCCTTCCTTCTTTGTCTCCATAATGATCTTTATCATTAGGATGGATTAGTTTCCCGTGCCAGGCTCGCTCTCTCTCTCTCATTACGGTTTCATCGTAGTGGGTGTATGTGTGTGCGCCAGCCTGCTTGCCGTGTGGATGGGAATAGTTAAGCAGACTTCCGCAACCCTGGGAATAAAGAAACAAGAGAAAGAAACATGAGGAGAAGTGACAAGGAATGAAAATGGCACCAAATGAGCCTCTTTGCTGACAGCCCCCTCTGGATGATAATTGAGAACAGGGAAGCACAACACAGCCCCATTTGTCCTTCCTCTTTGCCGTTGCTTTAATGAGAAAAGGAAATTAACCGATCGGGGACATTCCTGTCATCTTCCGGCCCGTGAGCACCATTGTGAGGTCCTGGGTGAACGCACATCCCCCGAGCCAAGCTGTACAGGCTGCAGGCACGGAGGCCTGTGCCCAGACTTGCTTCTCCCCTCTCTGCTGAGTCCCGCGGCTTGAGCACATCCCCCCTTCCCTGCTCAGACTTCTTCCAGCGTGTCTGCTGACATTTCCAGCACCCAGGACTCCAAGGCTGGAGAGTCTCTGGGCTGGCCCTCACTCCTTCCTGCACCCCCTGTGCATGAGTTACTTCAAAGGCCAGCAGGAAGGGGAGAGGAAGCAGGGGGACCCCAGGAGTCAGGTAAGATGTGCCAGTCAGTCCCCCAAAATGTTAATTATCCTCAAAGCACTTTTGAGTTGCTAATGAATGAATCACTCTCAATACGCACACTGGATGGGGTGACATTCATCCTATTTCACCTGTGAAACATGGCTTTACGCCTGAGTGATTAGTTCCATCTCATGGGAAGATGGCCACTCCCTCTACCTGCTCTGGAAATCACCGTGTTGTCGTGGAAAGAACATGATGTATCAGTTAGTGTAGATCAGCGATGCCAGAATCTCAGTAGCTTTCAACAAGGCTCTAATTCTCCCTTGTGCTCCATGTCCAGCGCAGCTCAGTGGTGGCTCTGCTCCGTGTCCTCTTCACTCCAGGACCCAGGCGGACAGACCAGCCTCCATCTGAGACACTGGGGAAAGAGAACAAGGCAAATCATGTGCTGACTCTAAAAGCTTCTGTTTGGGGGTGACACCCATCAATTCTGTTCACATTTCATTAACCAGAGAAAGTTGCAGAGACAAACCTGCCGTCATTAGGAGGAAAGTATAATCCTCCTCCAAGAGAAGCAGTGAATATTTCTGAAAAACAATTCAGTCTACCATGGTGGGCTTCTGGTTTATAATCACAAAAGCTAACAAGCAAACCAAAAAATGTAGAAATGATACATAAGTGGAATAGTATAATGCAGTGAAATGGCTACAGACTACAACATGGAGGAATCTTAGAAATGGAATGTTGAGTGAAAAAAATCAAGTCACAAAAGACTGTATAGGTGGAGTATTTGTTAAGAGCTCAAAAAAAGTGGAACTAAACAGTATGTTTTTAAGAATCCATATTGATTAAATAAGACATTTTTAAAAGAAGGGATTGATAAACCCCAAAATCTCTGATGGAGGAGGCAAGGATTTAAAATAAGGGAGAGGCGAATAGGTGACAGTCTGATTACACTGGTTCACAGGTGTTTATTTCATTATTACAATTCATAACTTACGTGTGTTGCATACATTTTTTTTCAATTTTTCATTGTGGTTAAATACACATAACATAAAATTTACCATCTTACCATTTAAGTATACAGCTCAGTGGTACGCAGCACATTCACAGTGTTGTACAACCATCACCACCATCCATCTCCCGAACTCCTTCCATCTTGCAAAACTGAAACTCTGTGCCCGTTAAGCACTAACTCCCCATTCCCCCCTCCCCCTGCCCCTGGCCACCACCTACGTATATTACTGTCTATGTGTCAAATGTAAGAAGTTTTTTGAAAGAAAGAACATGGGCTTTGAAAATAGACCTGGGTTCAAATCCTAGCTCTAGGATTTACCATCCTTATGACCTTGGGGGTCTGCCTAATCCCATGTACTTAATGGGAATGATAAAAGCTCCCTCCTTGGATGGCTGGAAAGATTATAAATGTCATACAGAGAGCATTTAGCATAAGGCTGGACAAATATAGTCAATGTTTTTAAAAAGGCAGAAGATTGTTAAGTGGTAATTGATTAATTAAGTGTTGAGCATAGAATTGGCCTGAGTCCATGCCCTTTCGCAGTACTTAAATGGGCCAAGGCTGGGTTGCATGTGTCCCCAGGCGCGGGTGAGTGCTGTGCAGGTACTGCCTGTGGGCACAGAGCCCTGGGGGCTGGAACAGACACTAGCAGGGTAGCCTCAGAGGTTCTCCAGCTCATGGTGGAGGGAAGTTGTGCCTCCGTGGGAGAGTGGGACCAGAGTGATACGTAAGATGAGTCCTGGATTCCAGAGTGAGCAGAGGGGACAGACAGGGGGAAAAGGAGTGGGCTGGGTTAGGGAAACAGAAAAAAATACAGAAGCACTGCTGGGGTCTGTTTAAAGGAGCCAGTGTGGTCACCAATCTGTTAGGATAATAGCATCATGCAAGATCTTTCAGTGAGCCACCCCTCTGGTAGGAGAATCCCCCAATAGCAGGTGGTGGCCCTGGCCTGCCCCTGACATCACCCTCCTCCCCAGAGGTCACATGCAGAGAGTTCCCACCCAGGCGGTAACTTCCGGGGTCTCTTGGCCTGAACACATTCTAAGGCCACAGAGCATGCCTGACCCACCCCTCCAGGAGCAGGCCTGGAAGTGCAGCTGGAAAATGACCAGAAGCGCAGCTGGAACATGACAAGAAGCGCACTGGGAACAGAACTGGAAGTTCACCTAAAGCAGGCTCAGAAGTGCTGGACAGTTAATGCTTCAAGAATGACCTCAGGCCATAGGTTCAGGAACTGAAGTATAAACACTCCAGCTTCTTCACCCTTCCGTGGAGACAATCCTGGGTGTGTTCTACACAGCCTCTCAGAGAGTCGCAGAGGATTGACCCCACCTGTCACAGCATTAACCCACTCGTTAGCCTGCTCCTCCTGTGTCCCCCACACCTTTACTTGCTTCCTGGGACCAAATCCCTAATAAACGCCTTACACCCACACCCTTGTCTCAGGGTCTGCTCTGTAGGGGGAACCCAAGCTGAGATGGCTTCTGGGTCTGGTGTGTGCCCAGAGTGACTTAACTCTCCGATCTCTCCTGGGAAAGAATTACCCAGAGGCAGGGGTGAGGAATGGCTCTAATTCTGAAATAGTCTGCCCATCCCCCGACCCCCAGTCCAGAGGCCAAACCCAACCCTTTCTCTCCCACTTGTACAACCTGCCAACCAAGAATAGTTTTTAAATAAATCAAAAGAAGAATGATATTCCACAAGTGAAATTTATGTGAAATTCAAACTTCAGCGTCCGTGAATAAAGTTTTATTGAAACATAACCATGCCCATTCATTTATGTGTTGTCTAAGGCTGCCTTGCCCTGCAACGGCAGAGCTGAGTAGCTGGGACATAGCATGGCCTGCAAAGCCCCAAATATTTACTATCCGGTCCTTTGTTAAAGAGTTAGTCAACCTCTGTCTTAACGTGACAAAATGCAGAGCCTCTCAGACTACAATGGGCAGTAACATCAGTGAAAAGTACTTACAAGTGAAAACCAAACCCTGGAGTCAGAATCCAGTTTGAGATGCCTCAGGAATCTTGTCATGAGAACCACCTGGGGGTTACTCAGAACTTGCCAAACAATCACCTCTCCTTTTCCAGCTCGGCAAGTTTGGGTTTGGGGTAAGTGAGCCAAGCTTGGTCAGCTGGAACGCTCCACTCTGGAAACAGGCTGATCTGGGCAACTGAAATTTCTCTTTAATGGAAGATTGAGCAAAAAGTCCTTTCCACATCGCCCCGAGGGAAAGATCTTTCAGTTGTGTGTACAGCCCACTTTCCTGATGGAGAAGTCTGTCTCGCAAATGTGCTGAAGCTCTCTGCTGCCTGGGGACGGCACTGCCCCGCTGGTGGGGCATTGCATCACGGAAAGTGAAGGACAGTGAAATTGAATCTGCCAAACCCGTGACATCTCCCAAAAGCTGAAAAAAAAATCACTTCTCTTTTAAAAATTTTTTCTTTCCTTTCTTTCTCCCTACATAAATAAAACCATGATCCCTTTCATAGAAAACATCCCCTCTTCCTCACTTGTCCTGAATTACCCCCGTGGTTGTGGCCCACACCCCACACCATCAACAGTCCAAGAGCTGGGCTTTTTTTATATTCGTCAGATAAAAATATGAAGACATGCAGTAAGACGCAAGTTGCAGCCAAACATCTACATCCTCGGTACCTATAAAAGCTGAAATTTTTGGAATTCCTATTATCAAGTTGAAAGCTTCCGCCTACCTTCTAAAAGACACAGGGAAATGTGTTTTTAAAGACATCCTATTGGTCGGGATTCTGTGAAACAGACTTATTTTGGGGGCTTTGTCAATATGTAGACTTTTCAGACCCCACAGCAGATCCACTGATGGGTCATCACAGGGGGTCCAGGAGTTTGTATTTTGTCAAGCTTCCTAGTGCTTGAGTTTGGCATTCCCCCCTTCCTCACCTCCCGTCTTTGGCTTCTGGCTTCCCTCTAAAGGGTCTGTGAGCCGTGCAGACACCCAGAAGTAAATGCCCTCTCGAGGCAGCAGGCGGAGCCCGGCGGGGGATGTTGGCCCTGCTGTCATCTGTGCTCTCGTTCCCGGTCTAAATGGAGTCTCAAGGTCTCCCGGGAGCCCAGTCCAGCACCTGCCACAAGCACCAAATTCTCCCAGGGAACTCCAGGGAGAAAACACTCCTGGCAGAAGAGAGCTCAGTGCCTGCCCCAGCCTGTCCTCTGGGCCATCTCTGATGACCGGGTATCTGGACGCCCTCCCTTCTTTCTCATTAAGGGAAGGGGGGCATCTGTCTTTTACAGGCATCCGCCTCTCTCTCTTCCGCTCTTTGTATGCTACAAACCCTGGATTGTTTGAAGGCTACTTTCCCCTGCTACCTCCCCAGCATCCTGCCCTCCCCTGACAGCCCACAGGAGCCTCCCTTGCAGGCTTTCCTTTTAGGGTCTGCCAGGGACAGAGTGGAAAGGGAGGCGCCGGAAGGTTGCAAGGAAACCCCAGATTGTGTCTCCAAAGCAGGCTTTGGAATTACCTTCTGTTGCTGCATCATTGCCCACCACCCATGTCCACGCGAGGGTTAGATTTGATCATCACCCTCAGACGTGGGCGGATGAGCCCAGGAAACTCCTGCCGTTGGGCAGTGAGGGCCTCCTGCAGGCCCAGCCATCTGATGGCCAGGGCCCCGGCCAAATCATCTGACTCATCTCGTATCCCCTGCTCTCACACAGAAAAAGTTTCCGGAAGGAAGAAAGGGAGGCAGGGAGCAAGGAAGGAAGGAAGGACAGAAGTGGGGAATCCTCGATCTCCCAAAATTATTCCTCATCCATGCATCCTTTCCACAAATACGTATGAGCATGTACTGTGTGCCAGACACAATTCTAGGCACCAGGGTATAATGATCAAAATTAGACCTGTGCCCTAAAGACTGGCAGTCGACAGGAGGAAGCCACAATAAGCAAATAATCATTTAAAATAGAAAGAGACATGGTCCCCGTGACAACAGTTTCACAAGAGAGGCAGCAGCCCTTTGAGCTGGCTGGGGGACATGCTGGGGGCTTCTCTGTGGAAGCTCAGCCCTCACTGAGCTCTGAGGGATTGGGGGTGTGCTGCTTCCGCCCACCCTTCCCCCCACCCTCTAACTGTAACTGGCTGCCCGAGTCCTTCCCCACCTGCTGTCACCCTCACCTACTGCCACTTTTCCCACAGAGAGGGCAGCGGCTGGGAAGGTACAGAAAGTACAGAATTGAAAAACCCTTTCTGACCGGATTGTGTCTGGAGTTTTTTAACGGCACTCGGTCTAAGACCCCGGTCTCTGGACCCTAGAGAGGGTCAGTGCAGAGGGAGCAGAATTGATCTGTCCCCTTTAAGTCCGTGTTGATGGTACAAGAGTTGTTTGAAAAGTCCCTCTCACAAGGGAGGCCGCCTCTGAATGTGAAAACCTCGCCCCAGCTCAGGAGCAGACAGCCCTGCTTACTGAGATGTCTCAAAAGTTGTGCAAATGACAAGCTCATTTTTAGCTCAAAAGAGGACACAGCTGAAATACTGATGGGGCAGCCAGGGCCCAGCTCCAGGCCCAGCTACGAAGGGAGGTGCTAAATAGTTGATGAAGAGTGTAATTAATCAGCGGTTCCAGCCCTCTGGCTGCAGGTTTCAAGCTGACTCTTCTCCAGGCACTCGTCTCCGACCCGCCGCAGCCCAGGACGCTACCACTCAAAGCCTCAGCAGGGTGTGAGCCAGACTGTAAACCCGCTGCCTCTCGTCACCCCTCTCTCCCTCCCCAGCCCGCAGCCTTTGCTTTGGCCACACCTGCTGCATCGTCAGTCGGTCCTTTTGCGTAGGTTGGTCCTTCTTCTCAGGGATCGGTTCTCCTCTTTGAGCATCTGGCCCACTCCTGCTCCCTGACTTGCCTCTTACCCACTGTGTAACTCCAGGGAAGTTTCTGAAACTCTTTTTGCCTCAGTTGGCTCATGTGTAAAATGGGGACATTGTAACAGTCACCACTGTGTAGGGTCACTAGGAAGACTGCACGTGTTAGTGATGTCAAGGTCATAGACCACTGCATGGCACTTTAACACTTGCTCTGTAGACGGTAGCCACGGAAATTATTCATCCTTCCTAACTTGGCTGAAGCCTCTGGGCCTCCCTGAGGTAGGTGTCCCACAGCGGCCTGTGCTTATGTGATTGCACTGTCACTCAGTTGCTGGTTTGGGGACCTTGCTAGACTTGAAGCGTCTTGCACACAGGCCTGGCCTCATCCATCTCTGTATTCCTTGTGGCTGGAACTGGGTACACAGAAGAGGCTGAATGAATGGATGAATGAGTGACTGAATCTCCACGCGCACTTCTTCGGAGTCTGAGATCCTTTGCTGTTGCATAGCTCATGAGGAAGTCAACTCAGAATATTCTGCATCTGTCCCTTGGGCTGAAGCGTGCAGCCGCCTGGCCCTGCTGGGGGTGAAGTAGAGTTTTGCCTGGCCAGCTTACAACTCTGCTGCCTCAGAGGCTGTCCTCCGCCCCAGGGTGCTTTATCCACTCGGAGCAGGGGGCAGAGTCTGGGCCCCATGGAGGTGGTGGTGCAGCCCAGCCTGCCCACCATCACTCGAGGCCGAGTTTTGGAAAGTGAGTCTCATGGTCCATCTCCCCACCTTCCCAACTAAGGTGCCTGTAGCTGGCCCCTCCTGGCATTTTTCCTTCTTCCTCCATGACCTCCCTGGTGGCCTCTCCCATCATCCATGCCTCTTGCTCCCTATACTGGGGCAAGGAGCAGCCCTACAATCTAGGCCGCAGCCATAGGCCTGTCTTTGGATTTTTCCAGCACTGGTCGTCCCCGCCTAGTCCCCGACTTTATCTGGCCATGCCTTACATGCTGGGCACATGCTCCAGGCTCTGGGCAACTCTGCCAGCCAGGAAGTGCAGACCGCCCTAGACTAGTAACAAGCAATGTGCTTTCCTTGGCTGGGGCTGGAGCTATCGCAGCCTAATTAGCAAAGCCGCCAGATCAGCAGGCCCTCTCATTAACACTGATCCGATCCGTGTCTCAGCTGCTGAAGCCCCCCCAGTCCATCCGTCAGCAGCCTTCCCCCAGGATCACCAGGGCTCCAGGGGCAGAGGGGGGGAGTGACAGCCAAGAAGGGCCATGCCATCCCTGTCATCTGCTCATGTATAGCCCAGCAAGGGGCTCATTTCCCTGGACGGCAGGGCTGGGACTTGGGGGTGGGGGTGGGGTGCTGTGCTCTGGAAGTTCAATGCGGGCTTCACATCTGTCCCAAGTTTTTTCAGCCCTTCCATCCTGCAGTGACCCTGTGCTAAGTACGGCAAAAGATGCTGATGCGGGCCGTGATGTTCAGCATCAGAAAGCTCTGTCCTTTTTCTGGTCCAAGCCACCCTGCTCCGGGGCCTGGGCCACCGCCACAGCCCCCATCACTGGCCGGCCCTGGGAGGGTAGTTAGGTTCAGCTGAGAGCACCTGAGGCCAGAGACTAAGAGCAGGTGAAGGGGAAAGGGAGGGGCAGCTGCTTCGGTCTAGGTAATCAGAAGGGCTTCTCAGAGGAGGTGACGTTTTAGCTGTGACTTGAGTGACAAGAAAAACTTGGCCAGGCAACTGTCTGGAGGAGAGGGGTTCTGGGACATGGAAGGGCCAGTGAGTGCAAATGAGAAAGAAGATGGCTTCTTGAAAGAAGAGGAAGGAGGCCAGTGTGCAGGGAGCTTGGGAGGGGATTGGCGGGGGCTGAGTAACAAGAGAAGGAAATGCCGGGTGAATGAATGGATGAGTGAATGCTGTCAGAATTGAAAGCGGTGAGAGACCGCTGGAAACTGGGGTAGTCAAGGAAGCTTTCTAGAAAAGTCACGGGGCTTCCTTCTGCTCCCCCTTCGTAGAACAGATTCTGTGCGGCGCGGGAGAAGAGGAGACCTGTGGAAGGTGGCAGGTGAGATTCAGACAGGTTCAGCGGGCCCGTGCATGGTGGAACCCTCAGCTGTTTTATGACCAGCCCCAGCTAATAAGCCAGATGCTAAAGAATACCCGAGCTTCTGACTGTCACAGCAGCCCTGCAGTGGGGGTACTGTAGTTACCCCCCCCCGGGGTACAGTGAGCAAACTGAGGCCCGGAGAGGTTAAATCAGCCTTCCAAGGCACACTTCTCATAAATGGTGGAGCCCCAGACATTGAACCCCTACATGCTCTTAATTATTCCTAAGTGAGAGTTTGCCTTTGCACTTGTTTACAGAGCCAAGGGACCTGCTGTGCTACGTGACTGGCAGCCCAAGTCCCAACTGAAAGCTGTGTATTTGTCCCTGGGAAAAAACTTGTTCCTGGGCACTGGGGAGGTTTGACCCACCAGACCCATTGGTTGGGAGCCCCAGGGTGACTCTCCAGTTTGCTGTCTTTCTACAGTAATCATTTGTCACACATACAAACCTCCTTCCTATGCTTGAAGAAGCCTCCATTGCTTTAAGGCCAAACTGCTTCCCTCAGTCGAGTTGAAAATGCCAGCTACTTGTTTTCCCAGCATCCCTTACAGCTAAGGAATGGATACAAGACCTAGGTCCCACCAATCAGACGCAACCATCTCATCCTTAAAACTGGAAGCCAATGACCCAAAGAAGAGGCAAATTCGGATTCAGTTTCCAAAGATTGTGGTGGTAGCACGTGTGGTGGTGGCAGCAGGCAAGACAGAGTTTCTGTGCCCACCAGTGCAGACTGGTCGTAGGACTGGTTCAATGGTTTGATTTGGGGCATTCATTCTGGTTTCATGCTCTCCAAGCTTGGCTCTCCCACCCTCCAGGAGATGTGTGAGCTGACCAGACAAACGTGCTTTTTTCTGCTTAAATTAGCTAGAATTGGTTTCTGTGTTTGCAACCAGCAGCTCTAACTAGCACACTGTCATTAGGCCTCATCAGGTCATTAAAGAATGGAACTCTGATGGGTGGGGGGCACGCTTGGGCGGCAGAAAGCAGACGCAGGGACCACCTCAAAACTCCCAGAGGAGGGACAGGGAGCTGTCATTCCTGGGGCTAAGAGAGGGACTTTGGAAGATCACTCCTGAGTATCTGAGACTTCCCAGCTTCCTGCAGCCCCAGCTGATGGCATTTCCTTGTGATCTGGATTCTAAGACAGAGAAAGGCAAGAACCGAACTTTCTTGAAAGCTATGTAACATAGGGGGGAAAGAGGTTTGGAATACAAAGGGACCTGGGTTTGGATTCTGGCTCTTCCACTCACTTAAGTTCTCTGAGTCTCAGTTTCCCCATACGTGAAGCAGGACTTAGCAGTTGAAATGCGTTGTCTCGGAGTACTCAACACCCAGCTCCAGATGGCGTGAAAAATAAACGTTTATTAGAGCTGTGACACTGCACTCGAAGATGTAGTTTGACTTGATCGGCAGCTCTGTCTCCTTTCTTGGTGATTCTCTTGGCTCTGCCCTCCTCTGGGCATCAGCTCCCTCCTCTGGCTGGAGGTGAGACAGCTGCTCAGGTTCTGACACCACATTTGGCCCTGATAACATCAGAGAAAGAAAAGGCGTTCCCGTGAAGCCCCAGAGTCAGGAGGAGTTTCCCAGCAGTTTATAGCAAACATTCCACTCATCTCATTGGTCCAGAGGAGGTCACATGCCCATTCTCCAGCCAATAGCAGTCACCATGGGAATGCCACATGCTGATAGGCTTAAGCCTGAACGCCTGAGCCAATCCCCAGCAAGGGTTACGAGATTATCACCATTGGCCTAAAACAACACTTCCCAGACTTTTGTCGGCAGGACCCCGGTCACTTTCAAAAATTAGAGCGAACCCCCGCAAGCTGTTGCTGGGTTATATTTATCAATGTTTGCCGTTTTAGAAATTACAACTGTAAGAGGTTATTTATTTGTTTTTCAAAAAACAATAAATCCATTATACTCATTATTTTATAATAATAACTATACTTTACAAAGCCAAAAAAAAGGTTAGTAAAAAGAGTAGCATTATTTTATGCAATTCTCGTTAAAATCTGGCTCCACAGAAGACAGCAGGAGTCTCATACCTGCTTCTGCACTCGGGCTGTTGCAATATGTCATGATGGTGGTACTTTAAGAAGAAAATTTGACCTCACGCAGAGATGGTTGGGAAGCGGAGGCCCTCACCGACCTCCTAGAAGGGTCTCGGGAACCCCAGCGGTCTTCAGAGCACACCTTGACAACCGCTTGCTTAAACTAAGCAAGAATCACAGAGATAATTGCCTTCACTTCGCAGGGCTGTTGAGAGAGAACTAAGGGAGATGGCGCACGTGAATCACTTAGCACAGGGTTCAGGGAATGGTGTCTGGCGGTGAGGAAGGGCCGCAGGTGAGCCCAGGTGAAGGCAATAATCCATTACCCAGATGAGCCGACTTCTCAGTTCCTTTCCCCAGAGTCCCTCCACCCACACACATCCCATTATACCGTAACTCTTGCTACAGCTCTGGAAGCAAAGACAAGCTGCAGTAATTGCCCTGGAAAGGAAAATGGGGGCGATGTTCAACAGAGGGGAAGATCAAAACCAAGCTGTCCAACCCAAGCACGCGAGGTTCCCTGATCAGAATGAGAGGCGGAAGCCAGGGCTGGCACAAGCCGGGGGTCAGGGCGAGCCTCAGATGTGCTGATGGTCCCTCACAAGGGCAGAATGGGGGGCCCTTTGTCAGGCGTGGCTGTGCGGATAGAGCAGGATGCAGTCCCGGGTCATCTGAGGTCAGCACCGGGTCAGCAGGTTGGAGCTGGAGATGGGAAGCTGAAAACTGGATGGATCAAGAAGTCCGAGCAGGGCAAGAGAGAGCAGAGGGGGCTTGGTGATCGAGGAGAAGAGCAAGAGATTTCAGGCCAAAGTCAGAAGCTCTGGTTTGCAGGGAACAGCTGCAGCAGGTGCGCATATGCACACACAGGTGCAGGGCTGGGCAGGCCGCTCGGACCAGTTTAAGTCCTTGTACGGGGGAGAAAGCAATGGCATGACAGGCTGGCCAGATGGCACGGCTTCCAGAACGACGCCAACTTCAGAAGACTCTAAGAGGGGAGGGATTTTACCCCAGCATATAGTGCGTGGTACGTGGTGGCTACTCTGTAACTATTGACTGGATCCTTGTCCCTGAAAACCAGCAACAGGTCCCAGAATTTCCAGTGCCTCTGTATCCTGATTATAAATTGCTCCTGGCTCCCGAGTGGCACCAAAGCCTTCAGCTGACAATGCATTTGGACTGAGGGGTCACTGCCTGCTCCACTCACAGGCAGTGGAAGGAGTCCTGCTGTGGAGATCAGGAGACACTGGTTCCAGCCCCAGTTCTGCACGAGGTCGCTGTGTCACCTTCCCTCTTGGTGACTCGGGACTCCCACCTGTGGGTGGATAAAGTCACTGAGGAGGTGTGCTGAATGAGGGGCTTGGGGACCCAGCAACAAGGAACATGCAATGTTCCACTAGGTCAGGTTCATAGGTGGGACCAGGGAGGCAGGTTGCCAGCTGAGAGTCAAGGCACCTGGGAACTTTGGGCTGTGGCCACACCTGGCAATGTGTCCCCCAGCCCTGGTAACCCTTTTATAGAGCCCCTGTGCCCGGCTGAGCCTACAGGTGTTCACCAGTCTCTGACCTGATCAGGGCTGTCCCCCTGGGCATTAGGGTAGCTGAGGCCTGTGAGCTTGGATCTGGTCTATGAGAAATGATTTGAAGAAAAGAAGCCATTTTCAGCCCCAAGTTCAGTTTCTTTTTCCAAATGTGGGATCAGGGAGGCACTAGGAATGGAGTGGAATGATCACCGAGCACCTGTGATATGCCCATCCTCTGTCAGATGCCTTAACAACATATGTGACTTTCTGTCCACATGGTACGTATCAGTGTCCCGAGGAATTTGAGACAGAAGTGCAGTATTTTGGCTGAGATCATGAGGCCAGGATGTGAATGTCCTCTTCCCCTCCCCACCCCTCCCTCCCTTCCTCCCCCTCCTCTTCTTCATTCTCCCCCCACTCCCCTCCCCTCCCTCTGGGCCCCTGTAAGGTACCCAAGACACTGCAGCCCTGCTGCTCCCTCAGGGAATGTGAGCAGCCCCTTAAGAAAGCGCTGTCCTCATTTCACTCTCCCTTTGTGACCCTGGATTTCCGCCTTGGGCATTCAGAGTGGCAGGTTCCAACCGCCCTCTCCCCTCTGCCAACAAAAGCCAGCTCGTAATCCTGCTTTCCTGCCCGCCCCCTCCATCCTCCAAAGTAATGTCTTTCTTCCCGCATTCTTCCTCTGCTGCTCTGGCCCTGTAGCTCCTTTCAAAGCAGGCCAGTGGGACTTGGGCCAAGTTCATCAGGAAGGCCCAGGGTGGCTGGGGAGGCAGAGCCTGGTGACCTGCGTGCCCCTAGGGGCCTCACTCTTGTTTGCTTACCCCGGTGGCTGCACCTTTGGAGTTCTGTGAAGCTGTCGGGGCTGCCAAGAGGAGGGAGCAGCCTCAGAGATCTCAGAGCCAGTGTTCTGCCTCCAACTCAGAACCGCCTCTCTGGGAGCCGTCATCACTCCCACCCAGGTCCTGCTCGAGCACCCCTGGGAGACAGCCTGAACTTTTCAGATGCGTTCAGGGAGGGGATAAGAGCTCTGGTTCTGCCATCAGCTCCTCCGCTTTGCATGAGTTGAGGCCAATCTGTGTCTCCATTTCACCATCTGCAAAATGGGCACAAGAACAGTAACTACCCAGTAGGGTCATCAGGAGGACTGCATGGCTGTGAGGAGCTTGGGCACTGGGTCTGCCTCACAGGAAGGACCTAGCAAGTGGGTGCAGCCATCCCCATGATGAAGTCTATCTGGCTTCTTCCGTTGTCTGGAAATGGGCAATCAGGGGAAGGAGAGGGATGCTGGCATGGCTGGTTCCGAGAAGAAAGTCTTCTCACCCGGACCACCATGATTCCAGGGTTGGATGTGATGTCCACCTGGTGTGTTGCACAAACTGTCCACAGATGTATTCATCCATCATCTACTCTGTGCCAGGCACTGTCCCGAGGGCCAGGGTACAGTGGTGACGAGACAGAGATGGCCCCTGTCTTCAAGTCGCCCACTGGTGGAGAAAGACAACCAATGAGTGTTTAACAAATGATCTCGGAGATGCAAAAGTGAGATGACAGAAAGAAAACACAGTAACCAGCTGGTGACACCAGAGGGAGTGGTGCTCCAGGTACGGTGCTGGGGACAGAGCCCCTCTACAGAGCTGGCATCTGACTGAGACGTGTATGGGCAAAGGGCCTTGGGCACAGGTAGGGCAGGCAGTCAGGCAGAAGGTGCAGCACGTGTCAAGGCCCTGAGGTAGGAAACAGCTTGGCTTACTCATGAGACAACAGGAAGGCAAGTGGAGATCAGTGAATGAGGGCCAGGATAGGAAAGGATGGCGTTGAGGATGGTGGTGATGGGCAGGGGTACAGGATGCTCTTTATGACACTGTCAGGCATTCAGAGTTTATCTAAAGCGCAAGGAGAAGACAGTGGAAGGTTCTAGGCAGGGGTGGGGGGATGTCCCATTGTCAGACTGGTTATAAGTCTGGCTTTTGGGTGGAGACTGGAGAGAAAGAGAGTGAGATGGAGGCAGGGAGGCCACCGGGAGGCCACTATGAGAGCCTAGGGGAAAGGGGACGGAGTATCAGCCCAAGCAGACAGAAGTCAGGGTGGTAAGAAGCCGTTGGATTCAAGATCCGTGTGGAGGGGAAGCCACCAGGACCTGCTGGAGGGTGGGTCCATCCAGGCCACACCCGAGAACCGCCGCAGTGGGAGAAGCATGCTCACAGCCCAGCGTCCAAGGTCAGGGTTCAAAGGGCTGTGAAATCTGTGTTCCCGTAGCTGCCTCTTTCCAGCCTGTCTCCCAACAGACAGGGCTGATGTATTTGAGGAAAGTGATGCACAGAGTTATGGGGACAAGGCCCTGATACCCCAGGGTCCCCTTTCTACCTGGTGCTGCGAGGGTCTCCCGTGGTGGCAGGCCCTGCCCGCTAATAAAACTGATAAAGGCAGTTTATGCAGGGGAATATAATATGCACCTGTGGAAGCGGCAGGTCCTCTGGGCCTGATAGGGATGCAGGGACCAGCCAAGCGCTCTGCACCTGGAAAGCCTGTGCTAACAGTCACGTGTGTGTGCTCAGAATCACTGCCTGTGCAAGGATGCAGGGGGTGAACGTGGACTGAGGACATGCTTTGATGGACATAGTCTTTATAGGCTAGAAATTCCGATGTTCTGAGAACTGCAATTTTTTTTTATCTTCCATGCTATTTCCAAGGGGAGCCTAATATGCAGCTGGAGTTAGAAAAATATATGTCCTTTTTACCAGCTTTTACAGACATTCTGCAAAAGGGCATCACTGAGCCCAGGCGAATGCAGCCAGCGTCGTTGTCGGGAGCTCAGTGAGTGGGGGGAGCCCACCCACGGGGAGTGAAGGGTGTGGACAGGTAGACCCTCGGAGCAGGAAATGTCCTCGTTTTGTTATTGTTGTTGTCATTTGAGGGTTAGAAAATTGAGGCAGTTGTCCTCGTGGACACATAAATTATACATAATCCTTGGGATGCCAGGCTTAGGAAATGCAAGGGGAAAAGCTGCTGACAGCGTCTCCACGCTTGTTAACTCAAACACAGGATCCGAACTAGACTTTTTGAGGCAGGAGGCTGTAAAGTGGCAAGTTTTGTTCAGTGGCCCTGGGGCCAGTGCAGCTCCGTGCAGACTTTTCTTTCATCCCAGCCCTGCAGATGGGCACCCTCAGGCCTTGGCAGCTGCGTGGGGTGCTCCTGCTCCGACTGCAGTGGGCAGGCTTTGCCTCAGGCACTTGGGGGACCAGAGGTCAGGACTCCCCGTCTCCACCACATTTGAGGGTTGAGCAGAGAGAGGATGAAAGCCAGGAGGCTGAGACGTGCTTAGGTGTCTCTTGGTAGATAAAGATAAGGATGCTGGAGGGTGACGTGTGAATCTACTTGCTGGGCTGAAAGACAGGTGCACCTTGCTCCCCACCATCCCCA